ATATATATATATAGTCATTGTCATATATATAGTCAAACAGAGCTGCCCGGTAAACCGTAGGCAGAGAGGGGGAAGAAGACAACAAACGAGGGGCTGTGGCAAACTGTTTATATACAGTCAAACAGAACTGCGCGGAAACCATCGGCAGAGAGGGAGAAGAGGACAACAAACGAGGGGCTGTGACAAACTGTTTCGTCGGAATTGAAGGAAGTAATTTACTCATGTTCAGTCATGGACTGGTTTCTTCAGCCCTTTTTTTATGTGCAGGTGGTTTATATGATCGACATAAAACCCGGCTTGTTAAATATTATGGAGGCTTAGTCAACGGACTCATCAGGAGGCTGAACCCTCAACAGTGTGAAGAATCCCCTAACTGATTACACTGTAAGACAATCCTCATCAGGAGACTGAACCCTCAACAGTCTGCAGAATACCCTAACTGATTACACTGCGACAATCCACCTTAACCCCGGCTGTGGTTATACATATACATATACATATAAATGTATGCATGATCAGTCGGTGAAACTCCGACGAAACAGTTTGTCACAGCCCCTCGTTTGTTGTCCTCTTCTCCCTCTCTGCCTACGGTTTACCGGGCAGCTCTGTTTGACGACATATATTATATTATATATATTCGACCAAAATTCCACCAGTGAAAATTTCGGAAAAAATCGTAAAGAAAAAGGTCGATAAAAAAACTCGACCAGTGGAATTGAAAACAGATGGCCAGAATTCCATTAACGAAAATTTCAAAAAGAAATCATGTGTAAAGAAAATGTCGATCAAAATTCGACCAGTGCAATTCAGTACAGATAGGAGTTACATTAATTATCTTCGACCAAACTTAAACCAGTGGAAAATTCATTAAAAAAAACGTGTTAAAAATATACATATATCCACCAGAAATTTGAAATTCAATTGTTATCGACTCAAATTGGCATCGGGAAAAAAAAAAAAAAGCGAACCAAATTCCGTCTCATGGCCCCTGTTCCGCAAGCATGGCACACACAATAATAAAAATAAAACTGAAAATAATAAAACAGAGACGGCCGCAAGCATCGCACACACAATAATAAAAATAAAACTGAAAATAATAAAACAGAGACGGAAAAAGAGACCCTCAGATGGAATGTGGATTAAAAGAAAAAGAAAAAGAAAGGTGGATAGGACAAATCAAACTCCATCAAATTGCTTTTTCCTTCTCAAGGGGAAAAATTAAAAAACGTCGAATTGCATTCGAGGTTTTATTACACGAACTGCCCTCAGTCAACCTTTTTTTTTTTTTTTTTTTTTTTTTTTTTTTTTTTTTTTTTGCAAAAGGTGACTTGACAGAACGTCGCCCTTCTCCCAGCAGCAGCCTCATCGATGGCCGCGAGCCTGGAATTTTGTCCTACCACTCGCCAAATGTGCAAAATGGATCTTCACGTAGAAAATGGTCAGATCCATTCAATATTCCTCACAATCAATCAGCGAGTTTTGGAACGATGCCCCTACTCTCTCTTTGGGACCTTACCCACCTTTCGAGGTCGTCTCGATAGAAAAAGTAAATCAGTACTTTACCCCCCCCCCCCCCCCCTCCTCCTCCTCTCTTCAATGTATTTCCGCTCAACGTTATTTGTTACCTTTATTTATTCTTCTCTCCTTTTTTTCCCCCATTTCGCTTTTTATCCCACCCCCCCGGCCCCACGCCTTTATTGTATTTCCGCTCGACGTCGTCGTATTTACCTTTATTCTTCTTTCCTTCTTTTTTTCCCAATTCAGCTTTATTATTTCTTTCTTTCTTTTGGTTGGTTTCTTTTCCTTTTTCCCGTGTTTTTTTTTTTTTTTTCCCAAGTGCTCTTTAACCGTATTCATCTCTCTTCACACTGTCGACGGAATGAATTGACGAAAAAGAAAAAACACGAAGGTCATGTGAGTCGCTGGAAAGATTAAAAAATCCTTTTCTATTTTTCGATTTTTTCGCCACTTCAATTGTGCACTGTTTTTGCTACTTATCATCGTCTCGATCCAATTATTTATGTTATAAATAATTGTCTTTTCTATGTTGTAATTTTTTTTTTTTTTGTTATGAAAAACAAAAAAAAAATCGATCAACAATCTGTCACCAAAAAACAACGGCCCATATTCATTCGCCAGCTCAGCAAAATTCATCATCACCACCAAAAAAAAAAAAAATCATCATATCACAGACCACTTGTCGATCATCATCGACAATGAACACGTGGCGTCAAGCAGAGCATGCACCTGATCTGATTAACGGCCCACATTCATCCCCCCCCCGGGGCAAAAAACATCATCATATTTCAGAGCCTTAATGGATCATCATCGACAATCAACACGTGGCCACGTGGCATCGTGCCCCTGACCTGATTAACGGCCCACATTCATTCCCCCGTGAGTGCACACACATGGCATCCGTAATTGCACACACGTGGCATCCGTAACTGCACACACGTGGCATCCGTTGGTGCATGCACATGGACGTGGATCCATGTAACGGTTCACTCGCGAACTAAATGCAAGCCAAAAGCGAAAAGGGTCCTCCGGGACATCCGTTAAAATTCGAACGATACAAAGAAGATTGGCATGCCCCTGCCAAAAAAAAAAAAAAGGAAAAGGCACAATAACTGCAAAAAAAAACCCTTGAAACAAAAATAACAAGGCGGGCGGGAGGAGACACGAGAAAGGGGATAAATAAATAAAAAAACAAAAAAAAAACGGGAAGTCAGTAGAACCGATGGAAGCGGAAAACGCCTCCCCCCCATTTGTCGTTTATGCGTTACCTACGACACCCTACCTCATCGCTCTTTTTTTTTAAACCCCCCCCTTTTTTCTTTAGAAGAACGGGGTAGTCCGTATCATTAATATCCCGCCCGGGTCAGACGTTAAGATTGTATTCACGGGTCAATGGGTCCAATTGCGATGGGTCTTGTTGATTTGGAAAGCCCGTAACAGGTTTTAAGCCTGTAAGCTAAGCTGGCTGACGCTGCCAGAACTCCGGGGGCAAGTTCCCACTTGCACGGATTACGAGAATCTGGCCGTTGATCTTTGCTATCTACGGTCAATATCGCTTAATTCGTGTAAGTGGGACCTAGCTCCGGGTCAAATTATGAGGTACCCAGACTCTTACCGTGTTATATGCAATAAAAGGTTGTGTCCGTTATTTGGAAAAAAAAAAAAAAAAAAAAAAAAGGCTAACATCTGGCTCCCTCAGAAATCGAACTCATGATCTGTTAACAAACAGCTAGATATGTGTCCGGGTCAGTNTAATGCAATGAAAGGTTGTGTTTGTTATTTAAAAAAAAAAAAAAGAAAAAAAAAGCAGCAGCTAACATTACTTAATATCCTCATGTGGTTCCCTCAGAAATCGAACTTATGATTTGTTAACAAACAGGTAGATATATGTCCGGGTCAGTGTTTTATGCAATAAAAAGGTTCTGTTATCAAAAAAAAAAAAAAAAAAAAAAAGATGACATTAATATCCTCATCTGGTTCCCTCAGAAATCGAACTCATGATTTGTTAACAAACAGCTAGATATGTGTCCGGGTCAGCCACATGGGCTGGGTAAGCCCTACCGGCTTCTCCCGAATAGAACGCCTGGTCATTATAGCTGCATTTGTGGCAAGTTGAGGTGCAGATACAGAGATAATGACCGGGCGTTCTATTGGGGTGAAGATGGTAGCCTCATCAGAACCGTCGAGAACTGGAAAAGGGAGGTGAAACAGAAAACAGACGTCAACGTCATCGTTGACACAGCTAACACAGGAGGACCAGGACCAGGAACAGGAACCAGCAACAGGAGCAGCAACAGGAGCAGCAACAGGACCACCAACAGGACCAGCAACAGGAGCAGAATAGGACCAGGATCGGGACAGGAACAGGAACAGGAACAGCAACAGCAGAAAGACACAGGAGGGCCAGGAACAGGAACAGGAACAGGACCAGGAGCAGCAACAGAAGCAGAATAGAAGCAGGATCGGGACAGGACCAGGAACAGGAACAGCAACAGGAGAAAGGCGCAGCTAACACAGGAGGACCAGGAACAGAACCAGCAACAGGAACAAGAACAGAAACAGGAACAGGACCAGCAACAGGAGCAGCAACAGGAGCAGAATAGGACCAGGATCGGGACAGGGCCAGCACCAGGAACAGGAACAGCAACAGGAGAAAGAAAAGAGACAGTAAGTGGAGGAGAGACATAAGCAGGAAAAGAAGCAGGAACGAGATAAACAGGAACAGGACCAGGAACACAAGAAGACCAAGAATAGGACCAGGAACAGGAGCAGCAGGAACGTGAGCCAGGACGGGGGTAGTACCAGGAAAGACGAAGGACATGAACAAGAGGACCAGGGCCAGAGGACGTTGCACGGAAACAGAACGAGAGAGGTGAACATTGGGAGGGATCGTTAAGATGAGAAAGAACGAGGAAAGGAAAAAAAAAAAAACAAAAAAAAAACAAAAACAAACAAACAAACAAACAAACAAAGAGCGGAGCAGGTGGTGGGAGCAACCTGGAAGAATCGATAGGGAGAGGAGTAGTTGACGACCGGGTCCGCCCCGAATAAAGCACATGGGAATCACGACCGGTCGCTGCGCGTGATTGCAACGACCGACATTGTTGTACGAGGAATAAAGCACATGGGAATTACAACGGGTCGCTGCGCGGGGTCTCCCGCGAATTAATTAATTAATTAATTATCTAACTAGGTAACTAATTAACTAATCAATTGATTAATTGATTAATTACTTTTCTTTGTCGAGGCATCCTCTCCGCGGACCATATTCTGACTTGTTAAAAAAAAAAAAAAAAAAAAAAGAACAGTCCGCTTGAACAAGCATGACAGAAGAAGCCAACCTGGCTCAGGTCGCGAGGTAACCTGCGCGGGAAAGAAATTCAATTAAAAAAAAAAAAAAAAACAGGGAGTAAGCTTGAAGAGAAAAGAAAGGGTACCAAAAAAGAAAAAAAAAAAAAAAAAGGTCCAAACGCAAAACTCACCCGCCAAAGGTAGATGATCGCCCACGTGGCAACGAACGGGAGGTTGAAGCGATAAAATCCAGCAAGCCAAATCATCACGATCGCGAATGCCAAGTGTACCAGCATTGGCCAGTGAGGCAGCTGATGGGCCAGATGACTCAGTTTGTTGATGACCCACCCTGCAGTTGGAGAAGACGGCATCCACTGTACCTCGGGCATACCGATCCCGATCTCGCTCGCCAGATCGCATGCCATGTCCCAACAGCCGAGCAATCCACCACGACTACCCACTGCCGGTCGGCGACCGGTTTCTCTCGCAGGGACGTCAACCGGAGATGAGTACGGGTCGCCCATCTCTCTCTCTCTCTCTCTCTCTCTCTCTCTCTCTCTCTCTCTCTCTCTCTCTCTCTCTCTCTCTCTCTACACCTATCAGGGGATCTATGGACTCGATCTGTCTAAAGATAGGTCAATCGCGAGAGAATTCTCTAACTAATCAATCATGAATCAATCACGAATCAATCACGAATCAATCACGAATGGATCACAAACCAATGAGTAATCAATCAACAGACTAATGTACTTCTCCCAGCGCGTGTACATGTACAGTGGACTCCACTCCTCTCGGCATCCTCCCTTTCTCCTTCACCCACAAAACTTTATCCACCATTTTCGTTCCCCCCCCCCCCCCCCCCCCCCCTCTCTCTCTCTCTCTCTCTCTCTCTCTCTCTCTCTCTCTCTCTCTCTAGTTAGCGAAGATGTGGTGATCGACCATATCATGTCTAGCAAACGCACGAGAGACTTAGAGCAGAAGAAGAGTCGGCGCAGAAGAAAGAGTTGGTTGGGTGATGGCGACGCCAGCGATGGCGACTTGAAGAGGAGAACGGTCAAGAGTTCAAAACCTACTTCGCCGGTAACTTCCCAAAGCCCGTCAGAGCCGTCAGAGGTCATCCTACGGTAGAGCCATGCGCCGGTAATCACTACCTGCGCTCTTTCCAAAGCCCATCAAAGATCATTCCAGGGCAGGGCCATGTGCAGGTAACCATTACCTGCACTGGCGTGCACGTTCCCTGCCGCAGAGTCCCAATAGACATGGCGCCTCGCTCCCCTACTCACCACCTTCATGAAAGCCAAAAATGGGGGCGACGTATCTTCCCGTGTTCTCGCGGAAGATTCATTCTCATTTACATATTTGGTGGGAAGCGGAGCCAGCGCCATGCGCATAGAATCTACGCGTACGTGCTCACACTGTTCGGCAATTCCGAGAGAAAAGCAAAAGCTGAAAAAAAAAAAAAAAAAAGGCAAAAGCAAAAAAAAAACAGAAAGGGCGGGGACATCCCGCGCTAAATCGAGAAATGGTCCAAAAAAAAAAAAGAAAAAAAAAAGAGAAAAAGGGTAGGTTTTGCGGGGGGGAAAGGGGAAAGAAAAGGGCGGGTTTCGCAGCTTGGGCGGCATGCTCACACTACTGGAAGATTGGAAGATCAGGATGGGCCCTGTGCAGGGACTTACATGCAGGATAGTCCTGGTGTGATTATGCCCTCAGCGAAGGGGGCGGAAACGTGTTTAGCAGCTAGAAGGTGGCGGGAAAGGCCAACGCGGGAGAGCGGAAACCACCAGACAGGGGAGGGGACCACTACCGGTAGCATCAGAGACCATACCAACAGGACCAATCCCTGTGCCTCTCCTCAGGTGGTGGTCCCCTCCCCAACAAACATCAGCAGACTGCTCAATGCCCATTGGGGGATCGAGTGGTCTATCTCTACCGTTCTTCCCCCGAATACAGCGTAGGGTCATTATAGCTGTATCTAGACTGAAAGATACCTCAAATGCAGCTATAATGACCGTACGTTGTATTCGGGGAACGAAGGCAGGTGGCCGGGGCTAGGTCCCACTTACACGAATTAAGCGATATTGACCGTAGATAGCAAAGATCAACGGCCAGAATCTCTTAATCCGTGCAAGTGGGACCTTGGCCCGGTATCACCCACCTGCAGGTCCGGAGCAGCCCCCGCATGTTCTCTTGTGAACACGGTTCTGGCTGCTATGGGGTTCCCTGTATGGCTATAATTAGTAGTGGTAGGTAGTAGGTAGTGAGAAGTGAAATTGAGAAAAGAATGTAGGGAAAAGAAAAAAAAAAAGGAAACCGCAGTCAGATCACTTGGCCAAGAACGTCCGTGGTCCCGTGCCACGAGTCATTTAATAACCATTCACGTGCCTGGGGATCAGTGACCATCTCCACCGGAATCGGGCCTAGCTCAGTTGATAAGGCACAGAAGTTCCATTCAAGAGTCGTGGGTTCAATCCCCACTCGTCTCACGTACGTGCCTTGGCAAGCTTGATGTTCTACAAGCTAGAGATATTCCCTTGGCCTCCCAAGCCAGCATTGGCAGGACCTTGGCTGATGTTGTTGGTTGCTATGCAGCGACAATATTGGCCATTAGACACTGCCATGTGGGGTTGGAGGGGGTATGGGGAGGTGCAGTGGCTGCCCATTGCTCGGCGCTAGCACAGCCAATTTTCCTCATCGGCAATGCCTGCCCACCCCTCGTCACCGTGATTGGCTGGTACAGCCTTACTCTTGCACCACTACTGTGGTGCCAACATACCCCGTGGGCTAGGGACATACTGGATTGGTTGGTGTTCCCCCGTACTTGCTCTTGCACCACTACTGTGGTGCCAACCTACCCCGTGGGCTAGGGACAGATACAGGGTTGGTTGATGTTCCCCTGTACTATACATAGACTAGCGAGAGAATAAGATAGATGCATACTACCAAGAAGATGAGATGGACAAGAGAAGGGGGGGGGGAAAAAAAAAAAAAAAAAAGGGCACGTCAAGTACCATCTGGCTAGCTCAGTTGGTACACCCCTAAACTGTTGAAACGCAGGCCTGAGTTCGAACTGCTCTGAAGGACACAAGTGAAATACTCCAATTCTGAACTATCTAGGGCCAGTCAATTGAATGATAATATCTCAAGGGTCCAGTGGCCAACAAGGTCAGTTGGTGGTGGTTTCCCTTTTTCCCCCTTTGTCTTTCTTTTCTTTCTTTTTCCCCTGCACGTTCTCTCTTTTCCCCATTGGGCGGCCGACGCTGCCAAAGGAGCCCTCAACGCCGTGGGTGTCGGGCTGCCAATAGATGAGGATGCGCAGGGCCTTGCTAATATTCTCTGTACCTTTCCACGGACTAATAGAAGATTCATACTTATTGGGACTGAAGTGCAGCAAATCCCCTGGCAGATCGTGGAGGACGAGGGGCCTTGCTGTACCAAGCACCAGATGCACAAACGACAAAAACTGTTGAATCTTTTTGTTTTTGTTTTTCCTGACCATTTCTCTATTTATGCGTTTCATAGTTGCCCCAAGGCCATGCTAACCTTCTCTGTATCTTCTGCGAAATAGGTCAAGATTCATTCCCGTTGTCCACAAGGGGACAGCAGTGCTCCAGGCAGATCATGGAGACGAGGGGCCTCGCTATACCAAGCACCATAAGCACAAACGACAAAAACCGTTGAATCTTTTTTTTTTTTTTTCTGACCATTTCTCTATTTATGTGTTTCAAGGCCATGCGAACCTTCGCTGTATCTTCCGCAAAATAGGTCAAGATTCATTCCCGTTGTCCACAAGGGAACAACAGTGCTGCCACTCACCACATGCACAAACAACAAAAAATGTGCCGCCGTATCTTTCCATTCTTTTTTTTTTTTCTTTTTTTTTGGAGAATGAGCCTCAGTCCACTACTCTCAAATGTGCAAAACGAGAGTGAATCTTTTCCTAGAACATGGAAAGATACACCGCCATGATTTTTGTCTTGTCGAGAGTAGTGGAGCGAGCCCCCATTTCTCGAGTTAGACTTGAAGAATACTACATTGTCCAGCATAGTTTCCCCATACGAGGTATGGATTCAACCATACTACAGACCTTCTACCTCAATACTGCTCAGTCTGCAGAAAGGCGGTTCGTTTTTCTTTTCCTCTTTTTGCTCAATACTGCTGAATACTGCTTAGGTGTGTCAGTGTCGCGTGGCCACAGTTCCGAACTTGACGCCGCCATCCGTGCCTTGCTGAAAGGCGGTTCGTTTTTCTTTTCCTCTTTTCCCTATTTTCTTTTTCTTTTTTTGCCATTCCTGTTTTCTTTTTTGTTGTTCTGGTCGTTCGTTTCTGTTTTCAAAACGGCCGACCACCAGCGCCTGTCCGAGGCTCTACCAAGCCGCCACCAGTCCTGCCGAGACCTTCCATGAATTCAGGAGATCGTTTTTTTTTGCCTGGGCAGGGTACTGGTGGTTTAAGTTAAGATGTGACTTTTGACAGGTAAGCCCTCAATCCAGACGGTTCTCTTACCACCGCCAGGATAGAGGGGTATCGCAAGGGCTGGGCCCCATTATGTTGCGTTCGTCATTCAGGGTTTGAACGGGTAAAGGCCCTAAACTGCCTCCTGCCTCCTGCACGTGAAGTGGCTGGGAAGTTCCTAGGAACTACCTCGTGACTCTCTCTGACTGCCTGCAGCCTGCAGGGCGGGCCAGTCTTATATAGTGCTGGCCCGTCCAGGAGGCTGCTCTTGCCAATGCCAAAACGTGCCAGACCCTGGTGTTGAAGTTGTCTTGAAAACAGGCCAAAAATGGTATGTGCTAAAAACCCTGGTCTGGTGCCTAAGTTTCAATGCAGGTCGACTATATGAGGGCCTGAAAATGGCCCTCATTTTCAAGCTTTTAGGCTGAAACGACACAGGGCCTGTAGGCCCTCGTTTTCAGGCTTTCAGGCTGAAACGACACAGGGCCTGTAGGCCCTTGTTTTCAGGCTTTCAGGCCGAAAACGACACACTGGCAGGGCCTGTAGAGCCCTTACTTTCCTTGTTTGGTCGGGCCTTGCAGGCCCGTGTGGATGCGCAGAATGCCACACCCCCCCTTCCTTGAAAGACCGAGCTTACCTGCGAGGGCGAAGCTGCCTGTCGGAGGGAGGGACCAAAGTCCGGGTGGGAGGGGCAGGTTTGCGAAGCTTCCTTAGCTGGTCTTCTTCGCTCGTAGTCGGCGTAGATCAGCGGTGCAAATGCTTGCAAATCTGCGAACTTGGTGTCCAAAATGTCGAAGGACACGGCCTCGCTTACATGCGGGGCGAAGTACACGGGGACGGGGTCAATGCACCGGTCGATTGACTTGTGCGTGTGACTGTCAGCCAACGTGACTTGCGTGGGCTGCGACTTCCTCCGAACGCGTGGCCCCAAGCCATTGCGTTCCGGAAAATTGTGGCCCATATAGTTGTGAGTGCTTCCACAATCGATCAAAGCGCTGCAGGTCGCCTCTCCGATCTGAATGCGTATGTACAACAATGGCGCGTCGATGTCGTCGTACCGTTGTGTCTTGAACTCGCGGTCGATCTTCGTAACCGACAACCTCTTCTCCAGCGTCCATCAACGGACCTGGTACTGCAGTGTGCAAGTAATCCCGCAATTGTGCTTTGAGCACGTTGCAATGCGGTTTCGGCAATCGACCGGTCGGGGGA